TACAATTAAACGTCCCCATAGAGGCTCTTTTCCTTCCATTATACGTATAAAGAGAAAATATGATAATCAGCAGTAATCAATGTTCATTTAAGAGGTCATTGTGATAATACACAAATATTCAACCGTTGTTACCGTAGCTACCAATACTAACAATTACTATTATATACTCTATCCATTCAAAAGTACCTATTCATAATGAAATTAATCCAACGTTGCTCAATGTGTTCAAAACATCGAATGTCACCCACAACAAACGTCTGGTTCTGTATTAATCCTCACTCAAATGGTCATTTAATACCAACATTGCATATTAATATTTCATGCTATTCCGTTCTCATCGAAAATTTCTCCCAACCTCTATACATAAGAACTACTAAATATGTAACTGAATAAAGGAATACATTATTCCATTCTTCTCTTGAAAGTCTCTTCCAGATGTTCTTTTCATCTCCTACAATGTTCATCCGTAGCCTCATCACATGCATACATAACATTCTCGTTGAATGCTCTTCTCATAATTCATTCAAGTAGCATGTAATATGTAGAATCAGTACACACATACTCGATAATTTCAAAGTGTTCGTAAATCGAGGGGGTAACAACCCCTTGCCCCCCCTCCCTGCATGGTTGATGATCCATATTGCAGGAGAATCTTGGTAACTACGGCTGCAATCGCGGGCTGCATTTCCATACAGTGATTTATACGATCGAAATACCGGTGAATATTAAATTATTACGAAATTTCGCGCGGCAACGAACTGGAAACCGGTCGAATGGGGCGCGCAAACATTTCGGTTGAATGTATGTATACCAAACGAAATAAGATATTAACCGGTTTTGTTTCGGTATTTCATCGGGCCGCAAGCACCGCGACGTGATAAGTGTTGTTAATATACACTCTGTGCGTCCGTATAATACAGTGATAAGGGGTTGCAACCGCGATCTTGGGGTCGAGAGTTTTAATAAGCAGGCGCACGGAACATGAACGGAGGGGACAAGGCAGTCTCCACACGGGCTACCGGAGCCTGGTAATGAGAATGTTTGCAGTAAAAAAGATTTCTTAATTGCGATTCCGCTCGCAGCGGATAAACCCACGAGGACTTAAAGCAGCTTTGTTACTGGTAATTTCAATTGTGTAAATACCATTTAGAGGCTCTTTTTGGGAGCGAATAACCCAAGTATCGCGAATGATGATCGTTTTTTTGGGAAAATGTTTCGAAGAATTTTACACTGAGAGGCTTAACCCCCTCAGGGATTAATTATTGACTCCTTTTCAGTTGTATCTATTTAAAATATATTTATGGGGATATTATATTATCTAGGATAATCAATTGGTAGGGTATCGTTTTATTTTTGTTGCTGAGTTTCTGAGTAAGTGTTTGAACATTATTGTGAATATTGTAGCTTTGGAATCATGCTTGAATGAAAGAAGAACTAAACGTACATATATGTGCTAGTACACCTCGAGAGGTTAAATCGATATTTTTATAGATTGGGGTAGTTAAACTGCGTGTCTTTATGCAAATATAGATTTTTATGGATTTGTTTACAGAGACTGAAATCAAAGTTTTAGTTGTAAATATCATGAATACATGATTAAACTGCATTACTGTTTTTAGTACACTGAAATCTATATGTATGATCGCATGCAATGAAATCCCCAATTTAGTGATAAAATAAAAGTCACGGATCCAGGAAGTGATTATTGAAATTTCGAAAATGGAACTATTAAAATTTATACACTGGCGCGGATCGTAGTTTTACAAATGTAAATTTTCGAGCTGAAATAATTATTGGAATCTCATTTTTTATCTTAATTTGTAATAGTTAGCTGTCGTTCGTTTTCGGTAGTAACTCGAAGGAACAAAGTGTAATTATAGGTAATCGTATTCTGGGTGATTAAATATTAAATTCAGTGCAGTGTAACGATGTGAATTATGGTAATATTATATAATGGCCTAGTGTAGCGTGTAGCTACAGCGTGGTTATCGAGTGTATCCTAACCTGTAAACTAGAATTAGATGTAGATTGGAAGTTAATGAATGCAGAGAATAATAGATTATATAATTTCGAACTTCAAATGAGTCCAAATCTTGACATTTTCTAAATCATGATGTTATAAAAATATCTATAAATTATCAGCATATTTCAGAAATATTTGAAGACCATACCCTTAAACCTTCCGTAAAAGGCCAACAAGATGGCCGACTCATAATTCCCAAGGATTTTTAATTCTTTCGATTTATATTATTTGAATTATATTAAATATAGTCAATACAGAATTTGAAACGAAGTTTTAATGATGCAGAGGTATAATTCAAAAATAATTGGAAATTCAATTGGGAACCATTTAACTGGAAATTGTACAATAGCGTCGTATGTATAAAAATTCGATTCGAATCACAGTAACCGTGCTTTGCAATCAAGAATTTACATTTTTTAAATGAATCACGAAACGCGACTCTTCACCATGCAGTTTGAAATTATTGCATATTTCATTTCAGTGGAGAACGAATAAAATGTACGGATTGCAATAAGTTACACAATTACGAATGCAATCGCATGTTTACACTGTTTTATTATTTCAACGACACGCACTTTCGAAAAATTTCCTGCATGCATAGTAAATGCATTCAATATTTTATAGCACAAATAAATCTAAAAAGCTTAAATCGTTTTATACAATACTATTAATGAAAATGCATAAGGTTTTAATATTCTAAAAAGTACCTATTGTACACACTATATGTTTGACATATGATGTATTTTGTACGAAATTCTCCAAAACTTACGTATGCATAATAAAACTGAACGTGAAATTAAATTACATTGCACTGACAATTGTTTATACCAAAACTTGAACTATTTCTTATCTTCTCTGGTTATCTTTCTAATAAAAAACTACTTATCTCAAAATTAGGACTATTTTCTCTCTTCTTTTTTCATCCCCTTAATTGAAAGACTGAAGGATATAAAGATTATCTTCTTTTGTTCAGGAAATAAAGAAGCTTCGTTTAACCGTGACCAATGCAACGTTTTTCGCATCGTTAATCACAAAACAATCACGGTTTTCAACTCTGATCCCGTTGCTGAAACTTGGAAAGCGTGTTTAATATTATTTACGTCACGGTCATTCCTGTTGAATTATCGACGCTGTATTTTGCAACGCAAATAACGCGCGCGCGCATTGTTTCACGTGTTTCCCCCCGGTTATAATGAAACCAATTTAAAGGTTCTCTGGCCACCGGTTTAATTATTTTCTCACTGTTCGCGTATTATTCGCGCTAAATTAAAGGAACACAATAAGTGGGGAACTACAGGTAGGATTTCAATTATCGGAACCCGAGATTATTTAATTCTTTCGTGCACATAGGTGCGATTGCTACGTGGACGTTTCGATAAAACGAAATAAAATATTGGACACTATGGTAATCGCAAACAAGACGAGTTTTTATGCAGAAAAATATGGTAATACGCTTTCTATAGTTGCGCCTTGTCGCCAACCCCGTTTTGACATTGCTATCTTTAAAATATTATTGTTGTCATTACTATGGTCCTTAGTATGCAATTTCACAGGGCATATAATAATTAAATATATTCACTTCATATGTTGGTAATGTCTGAATAAAATACGAGGATCATAAGAGATCAGGACCTGTAAAGTATTTTACAAACTGTACGAAGTATTAGACTCAATCTGATTATTTCACAAATCTTCTTTTCTTTGCAGAGGTATGACGAAATTATAAGGAAACCATTATGATGATAAAACTATTATACTAATTCATAATTGTAACGATACTTTGGGTTACAAGGACATGTAAAGGAAAGTTTTGTTACTTGTGTTGATTTTCATACAAATTAGTCGTTAGTTTACCCTAATAATTTTAAGTACTTTAGTATTAACCTTCATATTGTTTACTTTATACACTATGTTTCAGGTTTCTCGATAAATTACTCGGAACTTTGTGACATTCTATATAATATAGTGTCATATAAAATGTATAGTAAATTGGGAACCAACATAAATTCCACCAAAAATCCCATTATAATATCAATAATCGTAATGTAAAAAATTTGCGTTTGCTTAGTTCTAGTGTTAACCTTCGAGCAAAAAGAGTGTCATATTGTATAAATTTATCGATTAAAATCACCGAACTGTTCATCGAACCATCGTACAAGCATCGTGAACAGAACGTGATATATCGAAGAAAAAGAAACTTTTTATTTCTTCCACGTTTTTCATAGTTCAAGTCCAGTAACGTGGACATCTTCCAAACGACCGTACTTTCGCGATTTCGTTCGAATGTGTTCGTGGAAACGGGGTTGGACACTTGCCGTCCAGCTCGGGGCACAAAAGAATTACTCGCGCGTACTGGCTGGGAACGTCGAATAAACAACATTTACGCGCGATTCACGGGCTAACGAACGGAGTGATCGGAAACAAAGCAGCAGTCTGCGGGATCGGTACGGGAGGATAAGTTTTTATGGTGGACGGGCTGGTGGGGACGAGAAACGGGGGGAGAATTGGCGGAGCAGTAAAATATAACAAAGCTTTTATCGTAATAAAGTCGAGAAAAAGAATAGGGACAATGGTAAACGAAGTGTGAAACATATAACGGCGAAATCAATAACGCCTTTGAGCTTGTTACATTATTATTGATTGTTCCTGTCCTGGCTTCCGGCGACGACTCTCCTTCCGTGTACATCCAATCGACACACGCAGTTTTCCTCTTTCATTTCTTTCATTTCGCTGGGAAGATGATTTTCCTCGCTCGCGATCCCCCTCGCCAGCCTCGTCTCTTTGTTTCCGCTATCTTGTAGACAGTCTTCGAGATGAGGTGTGCCATATCTGGTATAATACTAAACATAGATTTTTCTCACATATTCTCTTCGATTTTATATTTCATTCGCGTAGAGACTAACATTCTTATACAGAGGGTTATGAGTTAGGTCGTTAGTTACGTACAGTTTCATAACTAAAAATTATTATCTTTTAGTTACTCACCATACTCGTCATACTCGTCATACTCATCATACTCACCATACTCGTCATACTCATCATACTCATCATACTCGTCATACTCGTCATACTGATCATACTCATCATACTCATCATACTCATCATACTCATCATACTCATCATACTCATCATACTCATCATACTCATCATACTCATCATACTCATCATACTCGACATACTCGTTATACTGATCATACTCATCATACTCGTCATACTCGTCATACTCGTCATACTCGTCATACTCGTCATACTCATCATACTCATAATATTAACAATACTCACTACACTCGTCATACTCACTATATTTACTATATTCACTATATTTACTATACTCAGTACCCTCGTCATTCTCACTATAGTCACTATACTCGTCATACTCACTATATTAGTCATGCTCACTACATTCGCCACACTGAGCAACGAATAAGACGAATATAGATCAATGAATGATTTATATCCAAAATATGTAGAGGATTTCAGTGTTTCTTATCAGAAATGTTTAAACTACCACTTTTGAGGATGAATGGGCGTTCTTCATTGTTTAAAATAGTTTCAGAATTTTCTACAGATGACCTACTTAAAATATTCCCCGACAAAATACGAGGCAAATTGAATCGATAAGAAACTTTGGAGCGCTTTATCTCAAAAACAAAGTATTTATATACCTGCATATGTTCCTATAATGTTTTCTATCATTGAAGTAAGTGGACTACACTCATAAAACTCAAGTCCCTTATTTTACCAGGATCTTGTTGTTTCTAGAGATATACATACATTATACACTGAGACGGTTGATGATACGATATTAATAATTTAGTGGTAGTAACTTAGAACTAATATTGAATGGAACACTGGGCTAAGTTTGTGTTTATAATGACACTAAAATCAACTGGAGAGATACGTAGGATATCCAAGAGTTTAGGGGATAGTTTCTTCTAGATTCAGAGGTCTGGGTTTAGGAGATTTAGGGGATAAGACACGGTTTAGGAAGTTTCTGGGGGAGGCGAGCTAGGGTGACGTAAGGTGGGTAGGATACTGTGACACAGTGTTTACGGATGCGGATGGCGCGGTGTTGGTTGGTATGCGGAAGATTAGATCCGTAGAAGATCCTTGGTATGTAGGTTTGCAGAAGATTGGAACTGTAGAACGCTCTAGGTATGCGGCTATGGAGAAGATTGAATTCTATGCTTAAAGAGGTGTGACATTCAAGATTGTGGACCAATCTGTCACACCTGCATTAATATTTTGAAATATATTACAAATATTTTGGAAAACACTTCTGGCGTCATTAGACTGCCGATTTTTTTGCAAAATCTCATTTTACAAAGTAATTGATAAAGTCAAAATCAGAAGAAGGAATTTCTTTTTTTTTTCATGGCTATTTTGACATGAAAAACTCGTTGTAGCTGATGAAAATTTTATCTTTTATTGTATTTCAGAGATGCCTAGAGGCTATAAATTCACCAAAACCATAGTATAGTCATCATCGATCCTCTAATAGACCTCCAATCGAAAATCCCCAATGATTATAATCAGTAAGTCGTGAATATGCATTTATAGGAAGTTTAAACATTCAAAACATACTGAATAAAAACATTAGCTACGATTAATAAATACTTTGTATTACTTTCAATTTAAGTAAGCTTCTGAATGCATGCCATAAAATTCTCTTCAGTTCTGGTCCTCATGAAATAAACCACAGAAATGGAAATTAGCATAAACATCCACCTCATCAGTCAAGGGTTAAGTTTAATCGATCTTCACTTTCAAATAACTTACATATCAATTTCTAGCAACTATATGGACAAACATTACCGACATAGTAAACTGTGAAATAAATAAATTTTCCTCCGTTTCCATTTGGAACATTTGCAACGTAGCAAAAGTTACTTACACACCTACCTGTCAACCTGAACACTTCAGTGATATCAAATTAACAACGAACCACCCAATAGTGTCCATCGTCAATTTCAATGAAACACGGCGTTAACTCGACAAACTAGTTTACGATAAACTTAATTCGTCTACAAGCAAACGTGGACGCAACCTTAAAATCTACATTCTAATCAAAGCATCATCGCGAACGCAAATACGTACGTTCACCTGTCCGTGTGTATATGTGTCTTATAAACTCGTATCTGTCGTATCGGGACACGCCAACGGGAAGCGATTCATCTGTCTCGCTTAATTCCGACCTTTCGAAACTTTCGTAATCCCTTTGACAAATCGACGCCTCACGCTGCAACGATCCGTTAACTAACTAGTGAAACGGCCGGGCCGTGTTAACTTTGCGTCCGGCCTTCAAACTAGAGAATAGGGAGGGAAGGATGGCGACCCTGTATGTGATCGTGAAATTCGTCAGAGCTTTGGCCCCGATTTCCAACGGGCGGAATTCGAGCCGAGACATTCCGATCCTCTTTGTGCCGTTCCGCGCGGACACATCCTCGGCTTTGACAGACACACCGAATCCCTGGATGGAACGACGGGGCCAAAATTTTCGGGGGTCTCGTTTTTATCGGAACGAATCGCTGAGATTAGCCTGCAGGATTACAGTAATAGGTTCAGGATATTGTACTCGTGCGCTGACAATGAGGTAGAGGGGATATTGTGCAGTTAGGAAAAAGATTGTGTTGCTGTGTGTTTGAATGACAGTGACTGGAGGGTGGCTCTAGAGGATTGGTCTACTTGAAGGTAGACTGATATTAGACTTCAGAATTTGGGTAACCGATTTAGGCCATTGTACTCGTGCGCTGACAATGAGGTAAAAGTGATATTGTGCAGTTAGGAAAAAGATTGTATTGCTGTGTGTTTGAATGACAGTGACTGGAGGGTGGCTCTAGAGGATTGGTCTACTTGAAGGTAGACTGATATTATACTTCAGAATTAGGGTAATCGATTTAGGCCTTTGTACTCGTGCACTGACAATGAGGTAGAGGGGATATTGTGCAGTCAGGAAGAAGATTGTGTTGCTGTGTGTTTGAATGACAGTGACTCTAGAGAGTGGCTCTACAGGCCTGAACCCACTTGAGGGTAGAGTTCAGAATTAGGGTAATCGGTTCAGACCACTGTGTTCGTGGACTGAAAATAAAGTAGGGATGATATTGTGCAGTTAGGGAAAAGATTGTATTGCTGTGTGTTTGAATGACAGTGACTCTATGGAGTGGCTCTACAGGCCTGAACCCACTTGAGGGTAGACTGATATTAGACTTCAGAATTAGGGTAATCGATTTAGGCCTTTGTACTCGTGCACTGACAATGAGGTAGAGGGGATATTGTGCAGTCAGGAAAACATCTGTAGTTCTGTGTGTTTGAATGACAGGGACTCTAGAGAGTGGCTCTACAGGCCTGAACCCACTTGAGGGTAGAGTTCAGAATTAGGGTAATCGGTTCAGACCACTGTGTTCGTGGACTGAAAATAAAGTAGGGATGATATTGTGCAGTTAGGGAAAAGATTGTATTGCTGTGTGTCTGAATAACAGTGACTCTGGAGAGTGGCTGTACAGGTTAGGGTCTACTTGAGGGTGGACTGCGATTAGACTTCAGGATTAGGGTAAATCAGCCTTTGTACTCGTGGACTGACAGTGACATAGAGGTGATATTGTACAGTTACGAAAAAGGTTGGATTGCTGTGTATTTGAATGAGAGTGACTCTAGAGAGTGGCTTTACAAGCTTATATTTACTTGAGGGTAGAGTTTTAGGGGTTGTAGGATGGTAGGGGTTGTATGACGTAGGGTTAGAAGGGATTGGATTCTTCAGGTGATTTATTTGGTGTGGATAGTGATATGTAGATTTTTTAATAATCTTGCAGTATGAAATGAGCAAACAATTAAAGTATACGTGAACATTTAGGCTATGTTTCCGAAAAACAGTGACCATAGAGAGTAACTCTATAGGCTTGTGTACTTGAGAATAAACTTTTAGGGGCTGTACTTAGAAGTAGTGTTAATAAGAATCCGAATTTTGGGGTGATTAGTATAGTATAGATGTGTTGTCTAAATCTTTCATATTTTTGTAGTGTGAGATGATTAAGCAATTAGTGTGTAGATTGTAGTTTAAATAACGTTTCAAAATAATTGGTTGTGAATGTTGACACGTGAGAAATCAGATTAAACATAACCGATGTGAACCTGTTATCTTTAAATTTACACGTATAAGACATCTGGAACCTAAAGTTACAATATTGTTATACCTACATACATATATTATTCGAGGGATCCAAGCTTGAACAGTTGCTATTTAAGTTAAGCGTCCCGGAAATTAAATCCGCGTGCTCCGATCTCGATATGTGGGTACGTAGGTAATTTGAGTTTAAAGGGAGTTTCACGTCAAATTTCCAACTTTTCTACACGGCACACTTTTAATTAAATGGATTTTAAACGGAACTACTGAGTCAACAGTAACGTATCCTGTTGTACGTAGCAAATTAACGCTCTGGACAATGCATCAACAAATTTACTTTCCATTTTATTAGCCTTCTGTCATCAAACAAACTGTACGCCTATTTAAAAAATGCATCCGTGCATGTTACAAATACTGCATTATCAACATGAAACAGAATACAAATATTAGTTACAATCATTTAATAGGAACAACAGCTGCAGTGATTGCAAAATATAATGCAATTAAGGTTTAAGAATTATATATAACAATTTTTAAGCAACTATTTCAAATTCATTCTATTAACGCAATTTTCATGTAGAATCTGAAGTTTAGCTAGTTTCTCGAGTAATGGAAAGACATTCATGAATGTAGTAATAACAGTATATCCTCATTTGCATCTTCTCTGAATAATTATGAATTTTATGAAAGTTGGACATTAGGAGATTACTGTATATTATTCATAATAACAGTACAATAATTAGGATTAATTAGAGATAAATTTCTAACACTTGATTTCGTATGTTACAGGTAAGGATCTCCAGCAATCATTGTTCAGAATTAGAAGGACGCATTCTACGAGTAAGTTCCATGTAAATTATAATCCACACTTACAGGGTTAACACTTTTTTACACTGTGAGGTCATTTAGAAACTTCGGGAATCACTTGACCTAAAAAGAAACGGATTCTAAAAAGGACCTAAAAAGAAAAGTACATAGTACCCCTTTAAAAATAATATTCTCGCTGGGTCTCAACATCTTAAATATCAACCATCAAGAAAAATTTGCATCCAAATTTTCATGAAACTATTGTCAGACATAACAATCGCTAAAAACAATGTCTACACAAAGACAAAAAGAAAACAATTTGAAATACATTATTTGAATATCTTGAAACTAATGAGGATGGTGTATCGCTACAAAAAATTTTTCAACACAGTACAAAAGTTTAAAGAATTCATCCGAAAAACTATATTTTTATCGAACACTTTTTCAAAAGACACTGAACCCTTTA